CATCCATCCATCCATCCATCCATCCATCCATCCATCCATCCATCCATTGATACTATTGTTTGGAGCCAAGGATTTGGAATGAATGAGCCATTATTTGTATTTCAACTTTGGTTAAATCCATACATAGATGAACATTGAATATTATTGTTTTGACTTTGGTAATCCTTTTGGTTTTTAAATTCTTTCAATGCATTACCTAGTTTCTCACTGCCATTATAAATCTGAAAAAACACAAATAAAGAACTTTCACATTAAATGGGTGTTATTTAACTTAAGGAGTCATCCTGACTCCATTGACCTGGACATTATCTTGCAAGCCTTTTCTTTAATGGCCATAAAACACTTTTTCAGTGCTGTGCCAAAGCAGACAGACAGAAAAATAGGAGATAGAGGGATAGATGAGACTTTGAGCCTCGGTCTGACTAAGATTCCGACACTGCAGTGGGAAAAATTTGGGATGCAGTGTGGTCATAACATGACTATATAATGTTAATGTCCACCATCTGCTCGCCAGTCAGCTGGAGCTTCCATGATGTCTCCTTTATCAAAAGAGTCAGGTTCCCCCCAGACCGTCTGCTCTGCATCGCCAGTCAGCAGGCTGGTGGACTAAAGGGTGGACTCATCAAAAAGTCATGAATTGAAGAGGGCGACACACCACAAATACACGATTCCTCTACAGGCACAATGTTAAACACTGAGAGGATGTTAAAAACATTCTTATAGTTATTTACATATCAAATACGCATCACTGGTTAACACACGAGGTAAGATGCTTATAAAGAATGATGATACTTCTCATTTTGCCACAAGTTTTATATTTGAATCTTGCTCTAAAAAAGTTGTTTAAACGTATAACTGTAAAAGAGAACTGTTTAGGCATTACATTGTCATTGTAGCATTTAGATTAACAATATAGACTTTTGAGGCTATAGATACATTTTCAACACATACGTGATATAATCAAAAGACAAGCTTTTCTTAAATTAAAAATATTGTATCATGAAGTAAGTTGACTTTGAAGGTGACAGCAATTACTGTGATAGTGTGTTCCATGTAACAGTATGTCAATCCATCTCACTCCCACTCATGTTTTTAAACTCACAGGTCAACAGTCAGTGTTATAAAATACATTCCGGACAAAGAGTGTTTATTTGATGAAACCTTAATGCAGATTGAAGCATTTTAACGCAACCAATTTTGTGCTGATTTTCTATGTGTATGTATGGAATAATAACCACTCTTCTTGTCTATCTTATTCACTGAAAGGTTCCTCCTCTTGTTCAGAGAAAAGCAGCAGAAGGACACTGATTACATGAGTGTGTCCACACGACACGAGGAGCACAAGAAGCAACACCACACCCACACTGCCTCCACTGTCCTACGTCCTTATAACTCAGATCCCAGGCACCCCCCTTTTGCCAAATCTGCAAAGGAAGCCTCTCTTGCGATGGAACTCGAGGTGAAGATAAATAAGGACGAGGCCGAAAACAGGAGAAAGTCGGTGAGAGGAAAACTTGTGACGGACAAAGAAAGGCTTATAAAACATTCACTCAAGAAGACGGTGGTGTTACAGAGCAACATGAGAGACAATGAGGGCCCTGGAGTCCAGTCCTCACCCCCTCCTCCTGAATTCACTAGACAGTCGTGTGAGGATAAGGTAGATGCAAAAAGTGTCTCACTGAGCAGTCTGAGCACTGATGATGGCCTTGTCTCTCTACCTGGAGTGCGAAATCGTGCCACCGATAGCAGCAGTGCAAGCTCAGTGAGCGACACGAACGAGGAAAATAAAATTCCGCACTCCTCTTATGATTCAAAACCCGTCAGCGAGAAGGATTCCCAAATTAGCAAAGTGGGAGACCTTCCTCAGCCGTTGCAAAACAGCGCTGGCACTCCTCTCTGTCCAACAGAACCTTTGGCTTTGGGGAAAGTGCGCGGGATGTCGGAGGTCCCCCATATTTTCCACCCAAATGACACCCTCGCTGACACTTTGGCTAGGGCCACAAGTACCCTTGTGCAGACTCCAATCCAAATCGAAGCACCTCAAACGCACTCTAAACCCGACGCATCACCAATGTGGCAGCAGGCTTATGACCTATTGGCTGATTTCCCGGCACTCCAGCCCCCGGAGAAGCCTTTAGCTTTGAATGAACTGCGTCACGGGAATCCCAAGACCAAAACTGTTGAGGTGAAGAGAGGTCTTACTCACTCGCCCAATCACTGCCAAGACAGTGGGGTATCCCATGAGAGGAGAGTGGAAAATGTGCCCCGTGAGGTCTCCGCCATCTGTTCAGGAGATCAAAAACCAGCACAGAGCCTTCAAACATTTGGCTCCGTCAGGCAATGCAACTCTCCTACCATCAGCTGTGAGAAAACGAAGGCCAGCAACCAGCCTCGTCCTGAAGGTAATAAATCTGCCACGCCTTTGTGTCCAACTGTTCTACTTACGTCATATGTGTCTCTGTCAGTTTGCGCAAATACTTTTATTTTGTCTAAACATTTGTTTCCCGAGCGGCAAATACTAAATCCCTTCTGTGAAGTGTGTTAATCACACCATTAAACTGACTTTATTTAGGCAGAAGAAGCAGCATCTGCCAAAAGGATAGGCCCTGGCTCAAATTCCTAACTTAATTTTAAATTTTCACACTCACACAGTGTGAAAATGTATTTCAGCCAAAAATCAAGCTGGTACCCTCTTTATTGTTTTCAACTTCAAACTCATCTCTCCATCCTGAGATATGTCCACAACAAGAGGCAAAGCAAAAGCACCTTCTTTCCAACCGGTTTGCAATACTTTGCGGTGTTGGTAAGATCTAATATGTCCAGCCAACCGTCCACCTATATAAACACACGTGCGAAAACAGTGCATTTCCTTTGCGTAGGTGTTAACACAATGTGACTCTGCATTGCCGTTGCGGAGAAGTACTTCCTGAGTTGGATGACTCAGTAGGGAAAAAGCTTTCATAATGCAGGGATTACTAGGAAGTGGCAAAGTGAATTACGCTGTGAGTTTTCCAGACCGGCTGTCGGTGAGGAACTAAACAGTGGATGCAGTTTGCATCCACTCGAGAATCCCAGAGATCATTTTCCCAAAGAGCGTTCGCTTTGTGCCACGCTTACAGGCAAATCAGCGCACCTTGTATCAGGCACATGCCATGACTGAAAATTGAAATTCTGTGAGGTTAGTGAAATACATATTTAACGTTATAGACCTTGATTACATTTAGCTGCGTTTGATTTCCCCTCTGCCTCATAACAGGTGCAGAAATTGAGCCGAATGTGGTTTTGCTTTGCCTAATGAAAGGACACCTGATATGCATTGAAAGGCCTCCTTCAGCAGTTTACTCCCAGTTCTGATATGGAACAAAAAACTCCTTGACAGCTTAACCCTGTTGATTCAATTGCATTTTGTCGAATCCCCGAAAGGGAGGCTGGCTAAAATAGTTTTTGCCGCAGAAGAAGTGAATCGCATTTAACACGACGCAGTCGAATTGAGACAGTGTGCGAGATAAACAGCAAAAAGGCATTAATCCGCGCCACCTTGTGTGTGAATTGTAGTTGCAGGTACAGATGGCGTGGGTGTTAATGCCAGGTCTTGGGCTAGCGCTGCCAAGGCGGGCATGAGGCAAGCAGCTGCCCTACAGGAGAAAGCCAGACCTCGTATCTTTAAGGAGATAGTCACCGCTACCAGAACCAAAGGTAAGTTTATACCCTGGCACCCATATCGAATTTGTGTATGCGTGTATGTATTGGAAGTTTATATCCACGGGGGGCTTGGTATTATGTTTCACTGTGGACCACATAAAGAATTCATTATGATCATTCACGGTTGAATGCATGTATTTTTCAATGCAAACGGAGCCTAGGGCTGCACAGTGTCCTTGTGCTCTTCTATGCCCTGCTCTCCTGTTGTGAGACAGCAACTTTCATAAATCAATAATACATACGACATGAAATTATTGTGTCATGCAAAAGGTTTGAGAATAATGGCAAACTCATTCATTAGCGTGAATGGCTATGCGAGTGCCCACTGAGCATTTCTGCCTGCGCACAGCTAATCCACATATAGCTCCACTTATATAGCCTCAAAAATGTAACCTTTTTTAAAAAAAATTCCAATGACAAGGATTTAAATAGAAATAAATAGCTTCAGGAGAAATGCATAAAGGGACGGAATCAGAAAAGGTGTTAATGAATAGAAACCTCTATAAATTAAGATGAATTGATGATCATTACACATCTTTTTTTAATCTCTGCAATGATTCTTGCTTCATTGTGCAAGCCTAGAGGACTGTTTTTGTGAGCACAGCTTCTCGTCAATTCATTTAATAATTACCATGGTGCATGGATTTTTCTGAACCAGATTGTACAGGTTTTTTTTCTAACTTAGCAACAGGGAGATTTTTTACATATGTGGGATTTCTGTCGTTATTTCACGTTAAGTTTATGTTTAGGTCATGAATCCAGTTTGTGATGTTTTGCCAAAAAAGCTACAACAAAAAGATGTATATGTTGCACAATTTGTTAGCTGTTCGGCTGTTAATTTAAAGGTTGGTGGTTTAAGGCCACCCAGGGACTACTTTATAAGTTGTTTTGGATAAAAGTGTCTGCTAAATGCAAACACATTACAACAATAAGATGATAAAGTATTGTTTATGGTTTCCAAGATTCACATATGCCTTGACCTTATATGAATGGTTTAGATTGTACAGGCAAGATGTTGGAGAAAAACATTTGCCTTTGTTGTTGCGTGTTTTCAATGACACATTTTAAACAGAAGCCATTGTAGTGGTTTACCTAATTTCTCACTTAAACCATCACACTAACTATTCCACCAAAAGCCTGAGCATGTTGTTTATTCTTGCAGCAAGGTTCAACTATGGCCAAAACAGCAGAGTGTTTGTGGCTTTTAGGCTCCCTCCATGTGTTTATTGTAACTGTAATTGACAACACTTGAGGTTTCTCAATTAGCCACTGTAAAACATGACATCATATTTTATTTTAGCTGTGGATGATATGGAATAAACCTGATTTATTGTCTTTGGCAATTTCTTTGACAACAATTAATTACAGACTCAAAAACTCATAATATACAACAGTAAGCAGCACTGGTTACCTTCATCTCTATTGAGCCTCTACTCTGGTTGTTATTTGAAAAGAAGTGAGGCTGTGGTCATTAATCCCTTTAGATAAGCATCCAGTTTGAGCTCCATTGAGTCTGACATCTGACTTGACGGTGGGCTTTTAGACTCTGCTTCTTATATTACTGGCAGTCTAAGGTGGCTGTACAAGCCAGCCACCCACAGCTGAAGGCACAAGGACAAGATGGCAGTCAACATCTTTTTCACAAGTGCTGCCAGAAACCAAAAGGAGGGAAAAATGGTGTTGGTGGTGACAACTTGACGGCTGATGACAACTTGATTTTCTCCCAGAGGCATTAGGTCAAAGATAGCTTGACTTTGTGGGTTCGTAATATATATAAAGTCACACTTTGGATCCTTTTCTGTCATAGAAACCATTTCAGGTAATTGCTTTCTAGTTCTGCCTTTTGCTGGTGTTTATTGAACCAATTATACCTGTTTTTACTATTCAAATGGTCACTTTTAAAAGCGATCATGACACTCATCACAGTTACATAAGCCAAGCTATAGTTTGAACTAGCCATTGAAGTTTATTAAGGAAATTTATGTACATGTAATTGTAACCACATTTTCTGATGTTGAATTACTTACCCTCCAATTTATCTGCTACTCAAAGGGGCCATGTAGTACGTTGCCTCTTGCCAAATTGAGGCTGAGATAGGCTCAAGCCTCCTTTTGGTAACAAGATTCAATGTCTGAACAGCCATGAAACCACCTGGGCAGTGGAGTCAGGACTATCAAAAGTATTCTGTAGCTGATCCTTGAATTCACCTGCTTTATTTCATAAAACACCCCCCTCTCTCCCACTATCTCTCACCATCTGTCCACCCTGTCAAAAATGAGGACATCACTGCAGCTCAAGTGTTTTCTGGAGAATCATTTTCTGATAATTTGAAGTTTTTCCTGATTCTCCTGCCATATATGGAAGGACACAAGTTTTAGTCTGTCCTTCTATTAATCTGATTCTGATTTTTTTTTCTGATTTGGAATTCTTATAAAGAACTGAACCATTTTCTCAAGGAAATTACAAACTAAAGACACAGCCAAATGACAATACTTTTCGGCTAAATGCAAATGATACTTTCCACAATACTTAGTAGTGTGCAATATTTTTTTGTTTTTTTGGTTTTGGGCAGCTGCTTGAAGGGTCTTTAAGCAGATGGTTGTTAGATAGCATTATCTGACTTATCCTGGGATTACAGAAATGCTATAATATATTTAACAAGCTAATTAAGGGTTTCTGTCATCATATTCTATATTTTGCAGTCACGCCAAAATATAAATCCTGTCTTCAGTAAAAAGATTTTTTTTTAAAGGAGTCATTATTCTTTATATTTTGCTATGATAATCCTTCCCTAATCTTTTACATTTGTTCTCTTTTCATTTCGGTTTCTTCAGCGCAAATGTTAGCCAACAAGGTGGCTATTTCCCATCATGGAGCAAATGTAAAGCGAGCAGCATTGTGTCGAAGTCATCAGCCCTCCAACACGAATCTCTCCGAAAGACCCAAATACCATTCTGCAAAACAGGTGAATATCATAAAATAGCTTTTTCAATAAACACTTTAATATCTACATTGTAATCCTAAAATGTAAAAGACTGTTAGGACCTTTGTATGTATTGAGACTGCCTCCTGGTCGTTTCCACAGTTTTTGTGTGTGTCTTTCTATGTGTGTGTGCGTGGTCAGTGGCTCCAGCTTCCCTCTGTCAATCCATCTGTTGCCCCCGCAGTTTTCTAGACCTGTTCACCTGTCTGTTTGTTTCCTGGTGATTTTATTTCCCCACCTATGTTTTATTTTTGTTTTTTTACTTGCTCTGTGCTCGCTCAGTTCATGCTATGTCTTTTATCATCTCCCAGTATGTTTTCATTGCCACTGTTGTATATATATATATATAGATGAGTATAAACTGCTGATCACATTAGGATATTTTTCTTCATCAGTCATTAACTTGCATGCTTGAGATCATGTATTTCAATTATCTGAGAATACATTGTTCACGTTGAAATTAAGAAAGGCTTTCGCCAACAAGTCAGTCGCCTTGGGCGACCAGAAAGGGCGGCAGTGGCTCATGTTTAAGCTCTCCCACTGCTTTTGTCTTACACAGAAATTGAATGTGTGTGATCAAATTTGCACTCATTCTTAATTTGAGTGAAATAACACTGTATGAGCACATATAAATTCTAAAACAGAGTCTTCAATTCACTGAGTCTGTACATATGAAGGGAAAAGGAAAAGTTGAGGATTACAATCTGGAACAATGATAACACTGCGTGAAAGGTCACAGATTTGATGAGACCACGAAACCAAACAGTTTATTCTGGATAACAAGTACAGATGTTTGCTCCTTGAGTAACAGATGCCACCTTAATGTGCTCCATTAATTCACTGGAGGCTTCATTAGCAAGTGACTCTCTAATACAGAGCAGTTAGTTTATTTCCTATTTTCAGTGCTGGGATATAGAAGCAGTGGATTTATTGTTCTGCATTATCCTTGTCGATATCTAAGTTAAATGTTAGTTTGAAGATGTGTTAACCTTTGTTAAGGCAAAAGTTAACACATTCTATTGATTATATTGATGTATTCATTGCTTTGTCGTGAAAATGGTAGTGGGTCAGATTGTTTTTTCATTAGACCAGTCAAAGTTTGTATCCACACCATCACAAATGGTTGGATTATATAAGGGTATCTTAGAATATTAACTAAACCCAGCAAAATTACATCCAAATGCCTTGATAGATCCTGTCAAATTGGCAGAAGTTAAGGTCAGAAGATAAATTAGGGCATTTCATTCCACATCTCATTTCCCAGCTCACTGTAACCACCACTTGATCTTGAAGAACCAGCTTGCTTTCCCATGGAAAATGCATAATTTTCGTCAGAATTTTAAGAAAAACATAAGTTAATTTTCCGGATGAAACAAGGGAAATTGGGTCATGTATTACAGCTATTGTGAAAAGAAGCACAGATTAGAAAAATGAATAAATAAAAAAGAAAAATGGCAGCCACCACTGCTGTAAGCTTCCTAATTCTTCTGTAACATATTACTGTAAATGAGAGCTGTATTGATGTTCTGTCTAAGTCAGGAAACTGTTGACGTATGGCTCTAGAATTCTTACTTTAATTGCACAATGTAAAAATTATAGTGCCACTTATGAGAACATTCTTTACATTTTGAATAGAGAACTTAATATAACCACTTTCCTCTCATAAATCATTACTTTCTCTGAGCCCTGGGTACCATTCAAACGTCCTTAACCAAATGTTTTCTTGTGACGTTAGGTTGGCTCAGGAGGCACACAACTAGCTTTGACAGAGATTCTGTTTTTGACATTCTGGGAAAAAGAACGAGTTGGACATTCACAGTCATCTGAATTTATCTCTCGGAAGCGCAGAGCTAAAGATAAAACATTAATGTTCACCGTTTCATCATGATTTTCTTAGTTTATTTGTTTTTTCATTCATCTTAGTGCCTAAATGAATTAAAGGATTTGCCTCCTACAAATGTTTGGTAGAACATATAACCTCTTGGAATACCTTTACCAAGGTGTCACACTT